AAAATATGTCTGATTAATTTTTACACTTCTGTTTCTCCAGTTTCAAGACAGCGGTCTTGAAGGATTTTAATTCTTTTCTTTTCACTTTCAATGGGTTCATCAAAATTCGGTAACTTTTGAAGAAAATTTTGGTTAATTTTTAGTTCAAAATTCTTCCACTTCTTTGCGTCAAAATTTTTAATTTTGACTTTCTCTTCATTCGCTATGTGTTGTTCTTTTTTAATTTCAAATTTCTTATTTGAATAGTTCATTATTGTTTTATATTTTCTATTTGCTATTCCAGGCTGCACAATTACTGCCTTTTTGGCTTCTCTAGCTGTGGTTTCTACGTAAAGATCTTCTTTTATTGGTTTTTGGATCTTGATATATCCTATAGTTATAGGAGGTATATTTGTTTCTTTATTTGCTAATACTTGGTATTTAGCATTTTTTCCTTCTCGTATTGTTGGTAATATGATGTGTCTAATATGAGTAGGATATTGTTCCTTTATTTCTTCATAGAAGTTAAGATTTATATCTGTTATATCAGATATACTTCCAGGTACACCATATCCTTGTTTTGGTTCTGATTCTGAATCTATTTCAGTTTCGTGTTTAGCTAGATCTTCTAATTCTGCTTCTTGTTTTGCGTTTTCTATCCATGCTTGTGCCGGATCTTTGTATTTGTATACTACTCTCCAGTCGTCATCCGTTAATGCTGACTGCCCTGTTGGTACTGGGTATAGGACCTTTTGTCTCTTCCATTCAGATTCTATGGCTGTGTCCATTTAGTTTCTTTTTGTTCATATCGTAGGGTTGATCCTCCTGCTTCATATTCGTCATTTGGATCATATAATTCTCCTTGTTGTTGGTAGTTATTGACAATCTGATCAAAGCAACATACAAAAATCAACTTAAATTTAGATTAGAATGGATACAATTTAACGATTTTACAGATATAACTCGAATTGGAACAGGTGGCTTTAGCGAAATATATACTGCAACATGGACAAAAGGAGAAATAACAGGTTGGAGTAGAACAAAAAATGAATATAATAGGGAAGAGAATCAAACGATTGTGTTAAAAGTTCTTAAAGACTATCAAAACATTAATTTAGCATTCTTAAAAGAGGTAATATTAGATAAACTTTATTTTAACTATCGATAAATTACTCTAAAAATTTGTCATTTTTTTGCCGCAGTTACAAAATATTGTTAAAAGTCAACCTAATTCTCACGTGCGCCATCTTATTCAATGTTATGGAGTGTCACAAGATCCAAAAACAAAAGATTATATTTTTGTTATGTCTTATATGCCTAATGGAAGTCTAAATAATTATTTATCCAACAATTTTGAGAATGTTACTTGGGAAATGAAACTTGGCATTCTTAGAAATATTGTTACAGGCATTAAATGGATTCATGAAAATAAAATAATACACCGCGATATACACGATGGAAATATATTAATAGGAACTAATGAATCTGATTCTTTAATTGAAGATTTAGGATTTAGTCGCCCAGCAAAAGATGACCTGGAAAGTTCAGAAACAAAAATATATGGAATCTTGCCATATATTGCACCTGAGGTGTTAATCAAAAAGCAATATTCATTTAACTCAGATATCTACAGTTTAGGAATGATTATGTGGGAACTTACATCTGGATTGCGTCCTTTCTACGATCAGGCATATGATGCTCATCTTATGCTTGATATATGTAATGAAAATTTTCCGTTACGACCAAATATCACAGAAGATACTCCACAATGTTGGGCAATTTTGATGCAAAAATGTTGGCACCCGGATCCTTTAGAGAGGCCAGCCATTGATAAAATATCTGGTGAAAAAAGTTTATGTATGGCATAAAAATGAATTTTGTTTGAAAGAAGCTGAAAAGAAACGACAAGAATTGCTTAAGACCGGAAAATTTATTGCTAAATATAAGCATCCTCATTCTTAAAACTCAGCGAATTATTAAATCCTACTATAGACTCAGCGCTTTTAGATTTATTTCAAGGTTCTAGATCTTTTACCTTGCGCTCTATAATTTCTTTTCAAAATATTAAAAGTGATTCATTTAATATTATGTAAGTAATTAGTTTCCTTATCTTTTTCATTTAAAAATAATAAATTATTCATTTCTCTAATTTAAATGGATACACAGTCCTAAGCATTTTAAAAATGCCAACGGTTTAAATTCAACTATAAACTTATCAACTTCAAAAAGACGCATTACCGAACTTTTACTAAATAAGAATGATTATAGTAAGTTTTAAATTTAATGTTTGGCTATTTTATCGATTTTAACGTATTACTAGATTTATTTACGATACTATATTTATAAGATGAAACAAAAGAATTAAAATCCTTCAAGACCGCTGTCTTGAAACTGGAGAAACAGAAGTGTAAAAATTAATCAGACATATTTT